ATTTTTTAGCTCAACCGTCACGGAATGGAACGCACAGGATTGTGGGATATCAAAGGCAGCGAAGGATACATCTATGCTGCCTTCAAAATTCGATCAGAAGAAGGTACCTCTGGAGACAGGAAGTAAAGCAGAATTTGGATTCAGACGTGCCTTGATGCCTTCCTGCCTTAGAATGCTGCCTCCGCAGGCAGCATTTTAGAGTTTTCGGACGCAGCACAAGTGTCAAGCCGTTAAAGGAACGCCAGTGGGCGGGGCCTATGGTGAGAAGAAGACTATTCGTCGATGTCTTGCTCTGGAGGCGTGTTTTATGCAAACGACTGCACCCAGGTGAAGTCACCTTGTCCCATTGGATCCAAAACGAGCTGTTTTTGGAGCTTGATTAAATAAATGCTTTGTATATAATGAGGAGGATGTTTTAAGCTATGAAACTTGCAGGATGTTTTAATGGTACAAAGACCTCATTATGCCAAAAGATTGATTTTTCATGCCATGACCCCTTTAAGAAGACTCTCTTTACTTGCAGTTCATCCGTCTCACCAAAAGAGGTCAGCATTACTTCAAATCTAACCCTGGATTTCGATTAATTACATAACTAATTATGATTGCATAATAATTAGGATAATTAGGATTATTAATTGATCTCTTCAATTAAATTGGGCCAAAAATGAATTGAACCAATTATTAATTTTAGTGAACATTTTACTTAACTGGATGTGTTCAAATAACAGGACTGTACACTGGAACACTATAAAAAGTGACTTAGGAATAGCAAAAGTACATTAAATGTGCATCAGTCAGGCAAGTACAGTTTACAAACAAAAAGAGGACATCTACAAACATCTAACAATTTCAGAAGGAACATGTCCGGAGCAGGGTTTTAGGAGAGTCTAATGCAGTTGACGTGATGGTGAAGTTTCCTACCGCATGCCTTTCTCTAGTTTGCGTTCACAAATGTGATACAGTTGTCTGTGACAGTCAGCATCTTGCATCAGCTTTCGATGCACTGTGTCAGATCCTTTTAAGTGAGCACAGGACTCCATATCCCAATGAGCAGGTTGATTTTCATCCCAGAAACTGAAAAGAACACAAAACACAATGAATTCAGAAGAAGTACTGATCTGGTTGGTATGTTATACAGTACCACTTCTGTTTTTTCATAACTTTTAAAAACAATTACAGACAGCCTAAAACACATGCTTATAATGTACGCCAATGATTTCTTACTGTGGATTTGAATGATAATGATCTCCATTAACCCAGGACCACTGGCCCATTTTGTCCCTCTTCAGACCAATCCAATAGTCAGTCCTCTTCTGAACCACTCTTGAAATGAACTCCTGAAATAAAGAGGCAACAATGTGCTTCATCAGGTCTGCATTTATTTAATCAAAAAATACAGTAAAAACAGAAATAAATATTATTACAATTTAAGATAAGTGTTTTCTATTTTAATATATTTAAAAATATATATTCTTGTGATGGGAAAGCTGAATTTTCAGCATCATTACTCCAGTCTTCAGTGTCACATGATCCTTTAGAAATCATTCTAATATGCTGATTTGCTGCTCAACAAACATGTCTTATCATTATCAAGTTGTGCTGCTTAATATTTTTGAGGAAACTGTGGTACATTTTTTTCAGGATTCTTTAATTGTTGAAATAAACAGCATTTATTTGAAATAGAAATCCTTTTAAAATGTCTTTATTGTCACTTTTGAACAATAAAAGTATTAATTTCTTTTTTTTTTTAAACTTACTGACCCAGAACTTTTGATTGAATGAAGATGAAATTATAAACTCATGTTCTTACCAGCTCTTCCGCTTCATCAGGTCTGCATTTATTTAATAAAAAAATACAGTAAAAACAGAAATAAATATTATTACAATTTAAGATAAGTGTTTTAATTTTAATATATTTAAAAAAATATATTCTTGTGATGGGAAAGCTGAATTTTCAGCATCATTACTCCAGTCTTCAGTGTCACATGATCCTTTAGAAATCATTCTAATATGCTGATTTGCTGCTCAACAAACATGTCTTATCATTATCAAGTTGTGCTGCTTAATATTTTTGAGGAAACTGTGGTACATTTTTTTCAGGATTCTTTAATTGTTGAAATAAACAGCATTTATTTGAAATAGAAATCCTTTTAAAATGTCTTTATTGTCACTTTTGAACAATAAAAGTATTAATTTCTTTTTTTTTTTAAACTTACTGACCCAGAACTTTTGATTGAATGAAGATGAAATTATAAACTCATGTTCTTACCAGCTCTTCCTCACTGTTCACAACCATCAAGTGCGCCCCAAAGTCATGGCATAAAGACTTTGATAATTCCCATGTCGCATAAACATTCATTATCAAATAACAGGTGTTCCTATATAAAACCCAACCATCTGAGCAGAGCCCTGTATTTAAGAAAACAAACCACACTATTATAGACACAACTTGCTTACCAATGTAAAAACCGTTTATAATTATAATCTGCCAATTGTATTCATTTTAAAAGTTTTTTTTGTAAAATTTTTTACCTCTGTCACCTTTGTACTGGAATGGGATGGGTGTAATATCATCAGAAAGAAGACCTCTGGTCTGATCCTCTTGCGAATTCTTCTTGACTAGAGGATGTTAATTTAAAAACAAACCAGTTACACAACGATTAACCCATAAAAATTTGCTGAGAGACATTATACATCTGACTTACAATTGAGACCTGTTACGATTCCTATTACCAAGAATGAAAGTAGGAGGAGAACCGTGAACATGACACAAGCCACTTTGCCTGAATATTACAGTGAATAAACAAACGTCAATACATTTTTATATCAAAATTTCAATCAGACATATAGCAAACACCATTAGATGAGCTTATGTACCATATACCACTATGTTTTACTTGTCATTTAGCTCACATTTTTATTTAAAGCAATATGTTATGCAATTAATAAATGCCTGATGGATTGATAGGAGCAGATAGGAGTCTTTTTCAGTTCATAGATAACTCCTACCTGGACTTGAAGCTTCTAACCAGTGTAGCAGCCGACACCCATAGCCACTGTCTCTGCTATAATAAGCTACAATGATACTACTTTACTTGCCTTGCTGGTAGAAGGGATCCACTCTGTCAGGATTTCCCTCCACATCATCTGAGAGTTTGTTGGACTGCATTCCTTGAGGTCAGCCTATAGCCTGATTATAATGACAAAAAATGTAAATCTGAAAATGCATGAGACAATGCCACTTTTACAACGTTCTCTGAAATAGGCTACTAGAGGTTCAAATACATCGCAATAAATCCGTTACATTCAATGCAAAAGATGCAATAGCCTACTGTTATGAGCATATAAAACAATAAACAATGAGAAAACACTCTGAATTCCAGTTGTTTAATCTTCAAAGTGTAAATAATCTTTAAGAAAACTTCAACTTACTGATCAGCTTGTTTCCTTGCAACACATTGAGTTTTCCATGGCACAACATGGAAAGTGAAGACTGTGTGGAATGGCAGGATGACGCCAGAGGGGCTGGTCCTCTCCACCCAGCCAAACCAAAGCTCGGGGTTTTCTGCCAAGAACATCACAGATGCCAGAAATGCATGACAAAGTAGCTATAATAAAATATAAATATCTTAGTGGTAAGTCAGAAAAACAACTGTGCACGAGCTCTTTGTATGCCTGTTGGCTTTTTAAAGTTACACATGTCAGCTCTAATCTAAAATAAATGCAGCAGCATGACATATGAAGTGTTCCAAAGGAAATCTCGTATACGTAGGCCTAATAATATTTCATTTAATTAACGATAAAGACTTGCATTTACACTGAACAGTGACTGTTGATTCATATGTACAGCTAATTGAAACAATACGTGCTATTCTTTTGCTCTCTTGAGCAGTGCTTGAAGTGGGCCGGTACGCAGTGCCTAATCCTAACCCCTCCCCCACACCTAACCCTAAACCTACCAATACTAGGGGGGTAATAATCTGGCAGGGGTCAGAATTGGGCACAACACCGGCACATCTGACATGTTGCCGGTACTCAAGAGTAAAAGATTCAGGGTCGACCAATCACGTAAATGAATGCAAGCGAAGTGTGTGGGGGCAAGAGCATGTCAGGGGAGGCCCGCAGAGTAGTAGAATAATAATTAGTTATTGATTACTAATTTGAATCAGTACTTTATAACGAAAATATTATCTTAAAAATAAAAGAAGCAGGCTTTTTCGATCACATCGTTTAAAACACGGCCGATTTCATCAGCGATTGCGGAGAGAATAGTGACTTACGTCCAGATGTCAGTAAAATTATTCTTTTCAGCGTGTATTTGGCTTAAAACCTGCTTTTATAATGAACGCTGATTATGCGGTGGTCAGAGATTTAGCGATTCTGAATGGATCCGTATAGTAGTAAAGGCAGGCGATTTAGTGGTCTTTGGCGTCTCCCTGTGGTCCTGTTTGGTATCGCAGCTTGACTTGTGCTAATTTGTATTGAAAACTTTTATTTAATTATTGATTGATTGATTGTGGCACTATACATGCAATGTGAATTATTAAAAAGTACTTATTTATTTAATATAAATAAATAATTACTAAAATAAATAAATGGGGGGGGGGGGTTGAGCACTTCGAGCGCTTTTTCACTTCAAGCACTGCTCTTGAGAAATTATTATTTATATCAGGGAATGCAAATTCTAGCTTGGTCTGTATGAGTGAATCGTTTCATCGAACGAGTCTTCTACCGAGTGATTTTTACCCATTTGAGTCTCTATGCATTCTGCCCTCAAAGATTAATTATCGCTTAACCAGTAGCATTGGAGTACGGACTGTGAAGGTGCATTTCATTGGTTGGCTTTACTGAATGAACACGCCCCCTTTAGTCGACATTAGAAGGAGAGTCGAAGCAGCGCAGCAACACTCTTGTGTGAATGAACTGAATGAACATATCATCTTGTTCGTTAATGAGGATCTTCTTCTGCTCTGTTTGATTAGCACGTCATGTGAGTCAGTTTTATTCACATCAAGAAGACAAAAAAGAAAGAATTGTAAAAATTACTAAACACAATTCAAATAGGCTAACATAAATGTCATAACACAATTAAAATGACATAGCTAGTAATATCACTCTATTGCTGTTTTGTATAATGAATCGTTTGAGTTGATGATTTGCTCACTAGCAACGCCCAAAAACACACACTTGTCGCCACCTACTGGCGTAACGATGTAACCTGGGGATCTTTATTTTACTAATTTACTTATTTTTTTAATTGCTTCAACCATTGGATAAAGTTGGGTTTAGATTTAAACCATCTGCACTTGTGAATAAAAAAACTTCCCAAAACATAACAGGAAATGAATAACAAATTCAACATTTTGTTTTCGAGAAAAATACCAAACCTGACAACCTTCACATTGAGTGGTGGGAATTCAGCATCCCTGGAACATAACCATCTCTCTCCAAAAAGGTTATACCGTATCGCACAAAAAGAAAACATGATCTAAAGTTTCAACACAATTATTTACATCAAAATTGAATTTCAGTCTTCAAAATTTGTTAGTAGGGTAAATCTCATTTAGAATCTTGAAGCTTTTTAGCTTTTGGAGGGAGGGGGAAAGACAAATATTTTTTTTTTCCTTTTTTTTTTTTTAGTTGAACCGTATCAAAATCTTTATTATTTTTATTTATTTATTTATTAGTATTCCCGTCTAATAAAATTTCTAATAACTCTACATTTTTTTCTCACAAAAATCATAACCTTCTAAACAAAGCTGGCTCAATTCTGGGGAAACTTGAGTTCACAATATCTTCTTTAACCATTATGGGGACACACTACAAGCAAAAACACCGTTTTTCTGTCCTTTCTAAACATTTTCTGAATTATGGAGTGACAAAAATGAGATACCCAAAATAAAAACTTCATAAAAAAACAAATAAATAAAAAAATAAAAATACTTTTTACTCCAATATGTAAAAAAAAAATAAACAAGAATTTTGAAACTGACATCATCCAGTGTTTAGATTTTTGTACTAGAAATTAATGCAAATTAGTGCATATTTCATTAAATAATGACTCATTTGCATATCTAAACCTAACATTTTAGAGAACTTGTAATACAAAAATTTTTTGCAATTATCAATGTAATCAATCAGCTGGGTAAGTAAGGTGATAACTATTAGTAATTTTTTTACCCTATTCACCTGCAGTGTCTCGCCTATACTCTCAAAGCAAGTGGAATGGTTCTAATCATTCTATTGTAAATAACAACAGTACACTGTTGGAATTTCTCGCAAAACTCTCTATATAGTAACACATTTCCATTATCATCCAAAAAATGACCAAAAAAAAAAAACTTTCTGCCAAACTTCATGTAGGATGTATTATGTTATCTATTGTTCCAAACTGGAGAAATTTAGAGAAGAAATTAATTCCACCATTTTTTTTTAAAATTGCACTGGGGACAATAAACCAAAAAGAGTGGTTATTACAAATGAATGATTTTAACCATTCTAATTTCAGTACACCATTCATAATGTCAAAATCAATCGCATGTACCCATCCATCTTCATACTTTTTGATCATGTCATCCTGTGATTGAGAAGCATATTTTAGTAAAATAATCAATTCTGGATTTGCTCTCCCCATTAGGTTTAAACCAGGAAAAACATTCAACTTCAGGATTTAAATATCTCCAGATGTCATTCAAATTATTTTCTGTCTTCAAACATTCAATGGTAACATTAAGCCGCTGCTTGTTAAGTCTGGGAGGCCATCTGTCCTTTCACTCATCTGGAACCATATTCCAATCCCCTCCTAGAACATTATCCGGTACTGTACTTTACTTTCTGTAATCACATTAGAAATATCTTCTATTAATTTCTGGTTTTGAGCTGCATTGTTAAAGCCATAAATATTAAAGGGGTCATATGATGCTGCTAAAAAGAACATTATTTTGTGTATTTGGTGTAATGAAATGTGTTTATGCGGTTTAAAGTAAAAAAAACACATTATTTTCCACATACTGTACATTATTGTTTCTCCTCTGTGCCCCGCCTTTTTGAAAAAAAAAGACCATCAATTAATAAACAAAAATATTTTGTACACTTTGAATATATGTATGTTATATTGTTATGTATGTTATATGTATGTAATATGTATGTTAAATGTATTCTAATGTTTTTAAAAAAATAATTCATAAATCATTAATTTTTTGGAGTTACACCAGATGACATTTTACATCCGGAACTAGCCTTACCATGTTATGAAAGGCATATTTTATATACACAAACATACAGTAGTAGTAATTATTAGCTGTAAAATTTCTAGGAAATAATAATTACTATTATTTATTATAAATTGTTATAATAATTCTCAAAAATTATGATTTTTAATAAATAATTGAACTTTTATTAGCTACAAATTAGCATGTTTTCCCTGTGGATTCCTTCATGCTGCATTAAAATTCATGTCTTGTTTTTACCTTTACAGGGCCCTCTGATTGCTACGGCATTTACTAATGGCTACCATTAAAATGAGTGACAGGTAGCCTACAGTATTCATGGTTCTGAACTTCTGACGTCTTCCCAAAAATACATTTTGGCCTTAATCATTAACTCAGAAGTCAGAACAAAAAGGAGAAGTAACCTGGTGATCCTGATGAATCTTTTGAGTGAAATGGATTCGAAAGATTTGAGTCACTCGTGAATCAAAATCACCAACACTAGTCTGATAGAGCCGTTGGTGGACCTCTCCGTCACTAGATGGCGGGCGCGTCGAGCTCCAGCACCAGCAGCCGCGTTAAAGCTTCTTCCGCCGCTGTTGTTCCAGTCTCCGCAAAAATGGCCGCGGTAGGACGTCTATCCCAGAAGCTCCTGAAGTCCGCTGCGCTGACCCAAACCCGTCAGCTGTCGGCTGCAGTGGCTCACAGCGAACAAGCAGGTAAGTAACCAACTCTGAATAACCTAAAACAGACGCCGTAATAAAAAGACCAACCGTTACGAACAGCCGCAACTCTACATTTTGACCTTGTGGAAGTGACGCGAATGGCTGACTAATGTTGTTCTGTCGTTGACATAAATTGCTGAATGGCAGTTGGTTCAGACTTTTGTGTAACGTTAGTAAGGTAACGAACATTAAGTTAATTGCCTTTTGATAACTACATAGTTGAATGAACTAAACGACTAGCACGTGAACCGGTTAATGTGACTTATTGACGTGTCAAGTAAATTTGTTTATATGTCTCTTGCTGATACATGTTAATGCAGCCAAGACCTGGAAGATCCTGTCGTTTGTGGTGGCGCTGCCCGGCGTCGCGGTGTGCATGCTGAACATGTACCTCAGGGCCCAACAACACAACCATGAGCAGCCGGAGTTCATTTCCTACAGCCACCTGCGCATCCGCAGCAAGGTGAAAACACCCACTCTTTACACTAAAAACACCTTTAAACAGTCTACAGGATGAGTCTGGTGGGAGTTTGTTTTTTAATGAAAAGAAAGTGTGGAGGTTCAGTGGAGTCTGGTCATATGCACTTTTGAGTCAGGTTTGTTTTTAAATATAGGAAGTATTGAATTTAAAATGTCTGCTTTACTTGTGGGGCTTTGTTTTATTACTTCTTAACACTTTAAACACCGTCATTGGCCTTGAGAGATCAATGTCATTCAAGATCAATGGAATTATTTTATTTATTTTGTCACATTTGAAAGCCAAGAAACATGATTCACCTCTACCCCCCACTCCCAAATAAAATAAATGTAAGAATTGCTGGTTTATCTGACATTTAAGATCTGTGTGTACTGTAATTGAGACCTTAGAGGGCCTCCAGGAATGAGGCTGTGACCTCACACACCATAACCATATGCAATGCATATATCAGTACAGAGAAATGTGAATGTTTCTGGTAATACTGACAAATATAGCTAGAAAAATATCTTGCTACTCTTAGTCTTTAGTGTTCTAGATATTACTAAATATAACGGCACTTCAATGATTATCGGGGTTTGTGATGGGGTAATAAGATTATAACAGCGTTTCTACATGCATATGCAGTATGTATTATGTTAAAATACATTTGTTAAGGATTCAAATGATGGAATAAAAAAATGTCATGACATTGTAACACATTTTTATAACTTAAAGTATCTCACAGAAGTGAGTATACCCCTCACATTTTTGTAAATATTTTATTATTTCTTGAATTGTATATACTGATATAGTATAGTTATATTGTAGTCATTAATGCAGATTCAAAATATTTAATGTAAGAGCTAAAATACAGTAAAATTGTAGTTTTAAAAATACATTATTTCCACTGTTGCTATTTATCATTGTAATTGATTCATGTATATGCACACATTTAACAGCTAACGGGGATGTGATTTTTCTGTATGTTCATATTTTGTGACTATGTACTGTATGACCCACATTAATTGCATAAATCAGAGGATTTTTCTGCAAAACAATAATACCTCTCAGCAGCTCTGTTCAATTTACTCACTCACAACATATGTAAACCATCTTCCCAAAATTGTAAAACGTTTATGAATCTGTCAATGTAACGTATTTATTATTAAATACTCTTAGTCTTTTCTTTTAAATCTTTTAAATTTGCAATACAATAGCGTTATAGAAATAAATATGTTAAGATATTTGTAATAATAATAATAATTATTATTATTTTGTAGTCAGTTTGAATACAGAAAACTGATCACATGCCTGGTACAAATAAAAAAAAATTATCTACATTTTTACTAAAACTTTTTTGAATGTATGAAAAATGACAGAGACTTGTGAACATTTGTGTAATAATTGAAAAATACATATGCTCATGTTGTTAAGTCAAACAATCTCTTTTCTCTCTTCCCCACACGTACATCAGCGTTTCCCATGGGGTGACGGCTCCAAGACGCTCTTCCACAACCCCCACGTCAACGCCCTCCCCGATGGCTACGAGCAGCATGATCATTGAAAGCTGTCTGGAGCTCTATCAGAACTCCCCTACAGGGACCAGAAAGCCCTCTGTCTCCCCCTCTCATTTTCTCTGGACCACTCCTCATTTTTTTCCAGTTTACATAACATCAACATTTTGATCTTACCTCTGTGCTCTCCACACCTAGTGGAAGTACCTTATGGAAACAGTTACGACCATTGTATCACCTTGACTGCTTAAACTGAAATAAAATAACAAATCTATTCATTAAATTATAAAAAATGTCAGAAGTCTCATTTTTTGAAGGGAGTGATTGAAGTTGTCAGATCCTGGGATACATTGTGTTTTGCTTGTGTTTAAATGCTGCATTAGGAGTATAGAAGAGAAATGCATTAAAGCAACACATTTTTAAAAATGGCTAACGGTTTAATGGAGTCTGTGTATTCTATTAATAGGTGCATGTGACTTAAAATGTAAATAATATTAAAATATACACAAAAAAATGTGTATATATTTAGCTCCCTTAGAAACGCAAGGCTAAAATGGCTACGAAGTGTAGTTTGTTCCTCCAGGCTCTCCGTACTGTCAAGACACTCTCACATGACTTTACTCTTGTGACACATTCCTTCTCAAAAACTAAATTTAATGGCATCGTGAAACATGAGACCTTATCAGTTTCCGTTTATACTGAATATATTACTGGTATTTGGTTACTCGTGAATTTTTTTAACAGTATTCTCTAAGCGAAAATGAATATTTAGGGGAGTGTGGACTTAGTAACGCAGCTGAAGTTGGATGACATGCGTAAAGTTTATGTAAACTTCATTCAACCCACTGACGGTGAGTGAAAATAATACCTGTATCGGTTCTTGTTGCACAGACACGAAACATGGAGGACTGGTTTGTCTCCACATCTGCGTGTTCAAGCGCAAACATACGTTGTCTGACATGGATATAAACAAACGCAAGCTACTGCTCTTAATGTCGAGTCTCTTTCTAAGTTAATACTAATTTCCCATTAAAACGGATAATCAGCATCACATTTTTTATTTTAAATATTTATTTTGCGTGTTCATCTTGACAGCAGATGAACCTCGCTAGCGTTATCCAGCATGATTTGAGAATGATCCAAATAATTTACTTAATTTGAAAAAAGTATCTTGTCAAAACAAAAGTATTTCTGAAAGTATTTAAAAGTTTAAATTACACATTTATTGGTTACTCTTGATGAGTGCAACAATACAAGTTTTATATAAAGTATTTACTGTATTTACACCTAGGGTTGAAGAGCGTGCACGTCTGCCTCTGTATTTTTACATTGACGTGTGAATTCGAGAGATTTTCTCACTGAAGTTACTTATACGAAAATCTTGTAAGGCTTTTGTAACGATCAGATGTTAAAGTGAAAGCTATGTTTATTTAAACATTGATTTGAAGAGTTCTAAACGAAATTGTAAGGAGTAACGTGCATAATGTTTGCCTTGAAAATGTAATTGAGTTAAAGAACAAGCATTCCGTTTTAGTAGTACTCGAATGAAGTACAAATCCTACAAATGTATAGTGGTGAAGTAGTTTACACTCTTGCGTGCATTTCAAAGAAATCAAGAACATGTGACCTTTTGTGTAATGCTGTTACAGCAACATCGACAGTGTCAAAAATATTTTTTACATTTTATTAGTAACCGGGACAAATTGTATTGTAATGATTAAATCTTGACCTTTTTATTCCCAGGTTTAAATGGAAATTGTCTTAGATTTTCAATGTGGTCTCAGCCTGTTGGACCAGTTGACATGCAGTGCTTTGGTTTTTCTGTGTGTATTACTTTCCCAATAGATTAGTTAACCATAATTTGTGGTGCGCCAAAGTTAAAGGAATTCACTCAAAAATGAAAATTTGCTGAAAATTTACTCACCCGCAGGCCAACCAAGATCCGCAGATTTGGATAAATTTAGCATTACATCACTTGCTCACCAATCGATCCTCTGCAGTAAATGGGTGCCGTCAGAATGAGAGTCCAAACAGCTTATAAAAACATCACAATATGTACACAATATCATCCACATGTAATTCACCTGACTCCAGTCCACAAGTCAACATCTTGTGAAATGAAAAGCTATGTGTTTGTAATAAAGAAACCCATAATTAAAGGGATAGTTCACCCAAAAAATGAAAATTCTGTCATTAATTACTCTCCCTCAAGTTGTTCCAAACCCGTAAGACCTTCGTTCATCTTCGGGACACAAATTAAGATATTTTTGATGAAATCTGAGAACTGTCTGACCCTGCATAGACAGCAACACAACTGACATGTTCAAGGCCCAGGAAAATAGTAAGGACATCGTTAAAATAGCCAAGTCCATGTGACATCAGTGGTTCAACCGTAATTTTATGAAGCTATGAGAATACTTTTTGTGCACAAAGAAAACAAAAATAATTACTTTATTCAACAATTTGTCGCCTTCTGCTGCCATTCACGAGAGTACCATGCCATATTTTTGTTTTCTTTGTGCACAAAAAGTATTCTTGTAGCTTTGTAAAATTATGGTGGAACCACTGATGTCACATGGGCTATTTTAACAATGTCTTACTACGTTCATCTTCGGAACACAAATTAAGATATTTTTGATGAAATCCAAGAGCTCTCTGACATCCGTGATATTCTCCAAAATGGCACTAGGTGATGCGGAGGAGAAGAATTGTTGAATAAAGTCATTATTTTAGTTTTTTGTGCAACAAAAATTATTCATGTAGCTTCAAAAAATTAGGGTTGAAGCACAGATGTCACATGGACTGTTTTGTCAATGTTCTTGGTACCTTTCTGGACCTTGAATGTGGTAGGACCCTATCTATGGGAGGGTCAGAGAGCTCTCGGATTTCATCTTAAATATCTTAATTTATGTTCCGAAGACGAACAAAGGCCTTATGGGTTTGGAATGACATGAGGGTGAGTAATTAATGACAGAATTTTCATTTTTTGGGTGAACTATCTTTTTATGGTTTTATATTAATTATAAGACAATTAAATATCTCTAAAATGTCACTTCTGGCCAAAATGCAAGTCCATAATCCAAAATAACACTTCCTCCACTGAAAAAGTCCATCCTATGTTGTCCTCTCACAACAAAATCCACTGATATATTTGTTTAGAACTGTTTACGCTTGTAAATGGCAAATATCTATGCTTATTTCTCTCCTAATTCAGACAAGATTACTTTTTCACAGGAGAAAGTAATGTTATGGATAGAGGACTCGTATTTTAGCTGGAAGCAACAGTTTAATGTCAAGACACCTTAATGATTTATTTGTTTATTGCAAACACCCAGCTTTTCAATGTTGACTAATGGACTGGAGTTGTGTGGACTACTTATGGATTATTATGTTTTTATCAGGTGTTTGGACTCTCATTTTGACGGCACCCATTCACTGCAGAGGATCCATTGGTGTGCAGCTGAGCCAAACAGCTGATATAAACATCAAAATAATCCACAAGTAATGCACACCACTCCAGATTCCATATGACAGTGGACTTTGATGTGAGAAGACAACAGGGGATGGAATTGTGGACTGGTCATTTGGCCAAATGCACTGATTTAAAATTTAAAAAAGCCTTAATGATGGATTCGTTTTGAGGGACTGGAGTCGTGTGGATTACTTGTGGATTATTGTCATTTTTATCAGCTTTTTGGACTCTCATTTTGACGGCACCTATTCACTGCAGAGGATCCAAGTAATGAAATGCTAAATTTCTCCAAATCTGTTCAGATGAAGAAACAAACTTAACCACATCTTGGATGGCCAGAAGCTAAGTTCATTTCCATTTTTGTGTGAACAATTCTTTTAACCAGATTGCTTCTCTTTCAACAGATCACCAATGGCTGAGACAGCGACTTTGACTGATTCCAGACGGTGAGAATAATATTCAGTGTAAACCTTTACAATCTTTCTTTAAACCAAGTGATATGTTGTGGCCTTTTACAACGTGTTTGCCGTTTCCTAAGATGCCCTTTACAAAGGCATCCCTTACAGTGTGACCCATAAGTGCAGTCATGAAGAACAGAATGCTCATTGTCCAGCGCATTATACAACATGCTTAGAGATATTTTCATGCTTAACATCAATGGAAAACACTTCTGTATCAATTTCCTCAATTTTAACAGTAATACTGGAAGGCAAGAGGTTTGGCTTAATGGCTAAATGTACTGCTTATGTGTTTCATCATATTTCCGAATGCAGCTGCTTCTTCCTGTACGATAGTTCAAAGGTGCAAGAGGAGGGTGACCTGACTAGAGATGGGATTTACTACTTCTCTCCTGAGGATGTAAGACATACGTCCTGTTCATATTGATATCATTAGTAAAGAAAACGATTTATATTTTGTTTAAAGCATGAAGAAGCAACTGCACCTTCCAAAACAGTATTATAACACAGCTGTTTTAAAAGACGACCTTCATAATACTTCATATACATAAGCATGACGGTGTGTGTACTGTTGCAGACACCAATAGACCAACAAGAGCTGCTTTGTGGCCAGCTGGCCGGTGTGTGTCGTTGTGTATCTGAGCTGTCCTCATCTCCTGTACGTCTGCTTTGCCTGCGCAAAAGCAAATATGCAGTCCGCATGAAGGATAACTTTATTTGGGTAAGAGAATATTTTGTCTTTGGGTAATGACATTACAAAACCTGTTACAAAACCTAACGTCTTGGTGCCTAGTACCCCCTGACTTAAATAAAGCCAAGGTTTTGGAACAGAGCGATGCTAACTTGGTGTGACTGAAAGCAAGATTTCTGTGTGGTTTTACAACTCTTGAATGGGATCTTTCTCTGGTTTCCAGTCATTAAGCTGTGCGGGTGACATTCCTGATGTGAGTGTGTGTGACTTACTTGATCAGCTGATTGCCCTCTTCTGTTTCTACAGTGGACCAGTGCGTCAGAGCTACCAGGTGCAACATCACAGTCGACAGTGTTCCGTTCATTGATTATGATTTAACCTGAATATATATTTGTTTAAGGTTTGGGGTCGGTGAGTTTTTTTATTTTTTGAAAAAAAAAAAAAAAAAGCTTTTATTTAGCAAGGATGCATTAAATTGATCAAAAGTGACAGTAAAGATGTTTTGTTATGTTACAAAAGATTTTAAATAAATGCTGTTCTTTTGAAAACCAAATTCATCAGAGTCTTGACAAAAAATGTATCATGGGCCCCACAGAAATATTTAATAAAATATGTTTCTTGATCACCAAATCAGTAAATTAGAA